CTGGATATTTTCGGGAATTACCAGCAAAACCAGCAAGGAGAACTTTCTCTGCACGATTGGCTCCTGGGCAGGCTCTGTTGGGCAATTTGGACTAAACCGGGTTCCCCAGAAGAGCCCCAGCAGAGCCTGCAGGGAGAGTTTTCCCCACAGATTTGACTGCTTGGTGAGCTCTTTTGGGCAGTCCGGTTTAAAGGGGCTGCCCAAAAGAACCCCAGCTGAGCCACCTCTCAGCTGTTTTAGCAGCTTTGTCACTGCTTTTTTTTTTTTGGTGTTTTTTGGGTCAAGTATATTGGAACAAAAAAATGGAATTCCCTAAAACTCCCAGATCCAAATACTTCACTGGTATTAGGATTCGGTTTCCCCCCCGGGAATCCTGTTTTTTTTCTCCTGTGTTCAATACACCTGAACCGAAAAAAAGGGAGAGAGAAAAATGCTCACCCAAAATGTAGTAAAGTAAAGGTAAAGGTTTTCCTTGCTTGAAAGCTAGTCGAATCCGACTCTAGGGGGCGGTGCTCATCTCCATTTCCAAGCCAAAGAGCCAGCACTGTCCAAAGACTTCTCCGTGGTCATGTGGCTGGCATGACTAAATGCCATTGCACACGGAACGCTGTTACCTTCTCACCAAAGTGGTACCTATTTATCTACTTGCAATTTCTTGCTTTCAAACTGCTAGGTTGGCAGGAGCTGGGGTCACAGATGGGAGCTCACACTGTCACGCGGCACTACATAAATATGAGAGTGTAAAAGAAGAAATGTTGAAGATACAGAGCTAGCTGTATATAGTTAATAATTATTATACAACCCTTTCCCCTTAATGGGAACCCAAAAGTGCTTACAATATTGTTCACCCTGCCTCCATTTTATTCTCAGAACTCCTTGGACTGAAAGAAAGAGTCACCCAGCTAGCCTCCATTGGAAACTGGGGTTTCGTACCTGGGTCTTCCAGACTCTAGGAGCTTTCCATATGGAAACATGTTTGTATGGCTTCCCCATTGATGTGGTGGCTGCCAATATAGTGTAGTGGCAACAGGGCTTCTGCAAGGCAGGTTTCCTTGCAGTTCTCTTTCCCTAGCAGCAGACATCACCCCCTCTCCAGAGTCCTTGAGGCTTTTCCATTTTTTTTTTATACTGGCCATTTCATATATTTATTTATTCATTTAAGTTTATATCCCACCTTAACCCACAAGTGGGTTCAGGGTGGCTTATGACATTAAGTAAAACAATAATTAATCGATAAATAATAATTCATAAAATTAGCTGTTGCAGTTAAAATTCCTGATGGGAGCTTACAAATTCTAATTACAGTGCCTGCTGTGCCAGTGTCAGGAAGGGAACAGGCTCTGTGCCAGTGTCAGGAAGGGCACATTTCTCTTAAACAGACCCGAGTCAGCTGGTGCTGGTGCCAAGTTGGTAAAGGCAGGAAGGTAAATTGGGAAGCAGGAAGGCAAATTGGGCAGATTAAATGAGCGAAACAGGGAAGGCTGATGTTATTTGGACATCTGCCACCTCCACCAAAAGCCTGGCAGAACAGCTCCATTTTGCAGGCCCTGTGGAATTGTAATGAATTCACAGAGCCCTGATCTCATCCGGGAGCATGTTTCACCAGGCAGGAGCCAGGGCTGAAAAGGCCCCGGCCCCGGTCAAGACAAGGCATACATCCTTTGGACCAGGGACTGCTAAGCAGTACTACTCAGTTGAGCATAAGGCTCTTTGGGGCACATCTGGGGAAAGACGGTCCCATAGGTATGCTGGTCCTTGGCCACATAGGGTCTTGAAAATTAGTACCATAACCTTGAATCTGATCTGGTACTCAACTGGCAACCAATGCAGCTGGCGCAGCACTGGCTGAATGTATGTCTGCATAGATGTCCCAGTCAGCAGGCACACCACTGCCTTTTGGAGCAGCTGAAGGTTCCAGGTCAGACTCAAGGGTAAGCCTGTGTAGAGCCAAGGACCTTCCAGTTTGTTTACTGTTAACTGTAGCCAGCAAGTTGCAGCAGAGCAACAGGACTTTGTCCACTAAATAGCTCGCAAATGCCTCAGTGCCAATAGCCAATTCTGTATCATTTTGTTTCCCCTGTAGCAGGGAAGTTAGTGATCTAATTGTTCTAAATAATTGGGCTGGGCAAGAGCTTATGGACGCAATGGAGGCTGCGTAGAAGTCCTTCTTAGTGGCCTTCATTGCCATCTCATAGGCTTTCCTAAATGTTCTATAAGATATTCTTGCTATATATATTTCATTATATAAAATTATATATAATTTTCATAATTATATTGATATATTGTCATAACAATTGTGAAAACTGAATTTCCTCCTGCTGGTTGTGGTGGGTAGAGGAAATGGTCACCATGCAGATGTGGTCAGGGAGCATGGCTGCCATGTGGGTGGGAAAACACACAGTAGTTATCTCAGCTTTACTGCAATATTTCCCAAAACTTCACAGAATAATAGGTTTGAGAAAGATCAGAGAAAATCTGGGGGAACCTTGGGAGGTGCATAAATGATTTCCAGAAGCTTTGGCTCCAGAGCAGATAGCCAGTTCACAAATGGTCCTAGTCCAACCACACTGGTTAGACATAGCAAACAGAGAAAGAGATATTTACTGGCCAGCACTCCAGCAGTTGGTGGGGAAAAGAAATTAAGAACCAATGATGGCATGCTGTCACTTCTGGGATCACACCTCTCTAGGAATTAGCAGAAGCTCTTTAGTAGAACCATAGTTTCTCACAATTCCTAGAGAGAACTGATGTCACTTCTGTGGAAAACCTGGAAGTAACACCAGTCCTTTTTTGGAATTGCTGAAAACTCTATGGTTTAACCATTGGCTGCCCCCCCATGCCTCCCTGCTGGTTGCCAAGCCAGGCAACCCTAATTTACACAAGGGTTGAGAACACTGTTTTAGCCCTAGAAACTTGTATTTACTGTTGGATATAAATTTCTTTTTCGTCTTCTGTTAGGATAGTTCTTCTCTTCATTATGTAGATTGGGGTCTTTGGCACTGTTAGAATTCTAACACATCGTGGTGGGTATAGCCACAAAATGCCTGCTATAGGAGGTAGAGCAAACCACAAAATGCCTGCTGCAGCTTACCTTCAGTCACACAGTGAAGGTCTTTGTACTGCTGCCACCGCCACCAAAGTAGTATTTTAAAAATCTGCACAGCCAATCAGATCCCCAGCGGCTAGTCAGAAGTCTTGCTCAGCAAAAGCCCACTTTCTAAAAACACTTGGTGAGTGTCAGCAGGCACCATGGCACCCACGGGTACCATGTTGAAGTCCCTTGGCAGAGCTGTTTGCCACATGCTTCTGGCCCACCTGTCATGACTTTGTAAATGGCGTGGATTTAGATGGTTGCCTTAGGCTCCAAGTAGAAATGTTTTGGTCCTTGTTCAGATCAGAGTGGATCATTTTTGACTGCTTCATGTTGTTCGTGGTGATATAAACAGGCCTGGTCTTGAGACTGGTTAGCTCTTAACTAGGGGTGGCATGTATAGTGCAGGTTGCTAGAACATAAGTAGGGCTAACTGGCAAGTACCCTAAGTCACTTGAGGATGGGTCATTCCTAAAACACATCATCATTGGCTTGAGTAGCCAGGTGAGAAGGGGAGGGTTGCCTTGCACGTTGGTTTAGCACTTCTCAGCATAGTTAATGAATAAAAGGTAAAGGTTTACCTTGCTTGAAAGCCAGTCGAATCCGACTCTAGGGTTGCAGTGCTCATCTCCGTTTTCAAGCCGAAGAGCCAGCGCTGTCCGAAGACGTTTCCGTGGTCATGTGGCCGGCATGACTAAACACCAAGGCACACAGAACGCTGTTACCTTCCCACTGAAGTGTTACCTATTTATCTACTTGCAATTTCTTGAATTCGAACTGCTAGGTTGGCAGGAGCTGGAACTAGAGATGGGAGCTCACGCCATCATGCGGCACCCGGGTCTTGAACTGCTGAACTACTGACCTGCCACAGCCTGCAGTTCAGTGTCTTAACCACTTGAGCCACCGCAGCTCCAGTTAATGAGTAGGTTAGGCTAAACTGGTGGTAATGCTAGCCAAATCTAAAACAGAGTGGAATTACCCCCAAATGGAGGTAGCACACTTAAAAGTTAAAAATGAAAAATGTGATCATGCAGATTAGCTATTTATTAAAATCTAGTTTAACTCATATGTAGGTGTCTTGTGATGGTTACAAATGAAACAGGATTATTAATGACAAGCAGGTGATTATATCCAGCCTTGGTTTTGTTATTAAACACATGATGAATATTCCAGTTTGGTGTAGTGGTTAAGTGTGCAGACTCTAATCTGGGAGAACCAGGTTTGATTCCCCACTCCTCCACTTGCACCTGGCTGGATGACCTTGGGCAAGCTAAGAGCTGTTCTTGAAAAAGAGCAGTTTCTGTCAAGAGCTCTCTCAGCCCCACCTACCTCACAGGGTGTCTGTTGTGGGGAGGGGAAGGGAAAGGAGTTTGTAAGCCGCTCTGAGACATCTTTGGGTAGTAAGGGCGGGGTATAAATCCAATCTCTTCTTCTTCTTCTTCCTTGAGAAATATTCCCATTTCATCCAGAATCCCAGCGCTGTTGGCAATTGTATTGTCACACTAACCTGGACATGAATGGTTTTGTAACTTTAGATATCTGTTCACAAACCCTAAACATTTAGCAAATTCTGCAATTTTCAAATGCAGGTCTCCCTCTAAATTAATATAAAAAGAAGGTGAGTTAAATAATCCAACACACATTTTAATTTCTTAATCTATGACTGTAGAGGCTTACGTAAATGGAAATAAAAAACAAAGCTGTACTTTTCAGTAGTCTGAATTTATAAAACCTGTACTTTCAGTAGAGTGTTTTGGTCTTTTAGGAAAAATATATTGTGTAAATTTCACAACAGTGGGCATGATACATCATAACTTTTCATTGCCTTCCTCTGTGCAATCAAAGGAAATAAGTGCATCAATGGTCTCTTTAAAATAACTTATTGTATTTGCCTTGTTTTCTTACCTAGATGGCAGGCCTGGAAGTTGGAAAAAAGATCTTTGCCATTAATGGTGACCTAATTTTTTTGAGACCCTTCAGTGAAGTGCATAGCTTTCTGAAAGCATGTTTAAGCAGCAGAAAACCCCTCAGGGTGCTTGTGAGCACAAAGCCCAGGGAGTAAGTCATTTCTTTGATTTAGGAAATTGCAAAGCTGATCAAAATGCATTTACAAAGGCATAGATATTATGCTGGTAGAACAGAAGAAGCTCCTTTAGTACTAAACATCAAATACCCGGAAAAAGGACATAGGGGTTCTCTGATTGAAGAGAGTGATAGTTGAAAGGGGCTTTAAACAATTTAAGTTCTTAGTAGAGAGTGTTTTTGAATAATTGTATTAAATATTAAATTTATCTTCATTTTAATGACATTTTGTCAGCAATATGGGGAAAAATGGTTAAATACACACAATGCATAATATACAGTGGTTTTATAAAACTTATAAGCAATTTTTGAAGATTATGAAATAACCTGTTTAGTAAACAGTCATGTTAACAGTGCTTATATATACTATTTTACCAAAACTTAAGCTTTGTGAAAAGACTATGTGTGAGATGTTTCTGAAGCCTTAGAATATTTTTTAATAGATAGAAATCGTTAATTTGACAAATGACAAGAAACATGTTAGCATAGGATCATTTACACTGAAGTTTATTTTGCTGTCAGGACAGTGAAGATCCCTGACTCTGTGGATGGTCTTGGATTCCAAATACGAGGTTTTGGTCCTTCTGTTGTCCATGCTGTTGGAAAAGGTAGGAATTGGGATTTAAGTGGTTTTAATGATGATGGAAGTCTTTTAGGAACACAAAAACCATAAAATACATACAACATGCAAGGGAATAAGTAAATCACATAATTGATGTTTGACTTGGTTCTTGCTTTCAGCAAAATATCTGAAATAAAAAGTCATCCCACTTGCATAGAGAAGTGGCCCAGTAACTTTGTTCTTTTATGACATTGTCACCTGCAGTTTGTTTATTCATGTAGTATGTTTTATGCTGTCTTTTCAGGAATCTGCTTGAGGTGGTTTACAATATAAAAAATAATAAAAACAAAATATATTAATTAAAACTCAGCATTAAAAAAGCCCATCCTGGCACAAAAATGTGTCACATAAAAACAGACCGCAGACAGCTTAACATAGCAATATCCAGGCTAAAATATTGTTTAAAAATTAGCCCCTTAATTAAAAGTTTGGGTGAACAGCAGTGTTTTGGCTTGGTACCCAGGGCTATTTTTGGGCAGGAACGCACAGGAACGGAGTTCCAGCTGGCTCCCAAGTTGGCCACACCCAGCAGGAACTCATTAGCATAATAGGCCACACCCAACAGCAGAAACTCATTAGGATTGGCTACATTAGGAGTGTGTGGCCTAACATGCAAAGGAGTTCCTGCTACAAAAAAGCCCTGGGTTTTGACAACAAACAAGGTAAACAGAATAACAAGCAAAAGGTGGGTGTGGCTGGATAACCACACTTCTGGTAACATGGGGGTGCGTCCTAATGTGCTAATGAGCTGTGCTGTCAGGGGTGTGGCCTAATATGCTAATAGATTTCTGCTGTTGGGTGTGGCCTATTATGCTAATGAGTTCCTGCTGGGCTTTTTCTACAAAAAGAGCCCTGTCAATGGTACCTAAAATAAAATCAAATATGTGCCAGGCAAGGCTCAATGGAATGTGCTTTCCACAAAGACATCTTGTTGCTGAAAAATCCCTATCTCATTGCCGCCCATCTCACCTGTGAAGGGGGACACAGAGAGTAGGGCTTGTGAGGCAGATCTTAAACTGATAAGCTGGACAATATGGGAGGAGGTGATCATTTAGTAAACAAAGTACAGCCACTAGCAGTTGAACACATGAAACTGCCTTATACTGAATCAGACCATTGGTCCAAGGTTAATATTGTTTACTCAGACTGGCAGTGGCTTTCCGGGGTCTCAGGCAGAGGTCTTTCACATCATCTACTACCTAGTCCTTTTTACTGGAGATTTCAGGGACCTTCTTCATGACAAGCAGAAGTTCTGTTATTGAGTCACAGCCCCTCTCCAGTTTTGTTTCTGTAAACAGAAAACCATCTATAGTATAAAACTACCCCTCAAAACTTTGCTGATTTTTGGTATCAGGGTGCTATTTTGTTCCTTCCTGCTTGCATACCATACAGAGATCAAAATGTCCCATTAGACAGGAAAAGTAGCCATGAATTTAAAACGGGATGAGTGTGTTTTGTCTATGTACACTCTGGAAGCACATTTTCACAGCACTGTAAAATGTGGTTGGTGCACATTTCTAGCAGGCTGTTATTTTTATTAGTTATTTATTTATGTTATTTATAGTCCACCTTTCTCACTTGGACTGAAGGTGGATTACACAGAGTGAATCAATACAGTTGACAGGATGGGATGTTGAGTGAACAATGCAATAGGAATTAAGGTTGTCGAACCAACCAGAAGTCTAGAAACAGAACTTAAGCAAAGCATTAATGTTAACATGATAAAAAAAAATTACATTGTAGGATCCTGGTTTCCGCACAGCAATGTAGTCCACAGTTAGAGATGTCATGTTTTAATGATGAAATGTTTTAATTAGTTGCTATAGCCTTCGACAACAAATGTTTTAATGTTTTGATGTTTGCTGCGTTGCGGACCTTATTTGGGTGGAAAGGCAGCATAAAAGTGTTTTAAATTTAAAAAAAAAGAAATATTTATGTGCAGGATTCTGATTTTTGCTACCCAAATATTACAGCCTTTTTGATAAGCAGACAATTATTAGTATAACATATCACACTGATGAGTTTCCTGATAACTTGTGCCTTGTCTTAGCCAGAATATCTCTAGACTCTGTTCTACTGTGCTACTTTGGCTTTCTTCCTAGAAGTGCAGCACAGGGGCAGCAGGTTGAGCAAAAAATCCATGAAAATCACGTAACTACTCTTATGCAAGCAGGGCAGCTTTGGACCTTACCCTATATAGCTTCACCATATTAGGCATCCTTGTGGTGGTTCAGCCTTCCCACTTGCCCTTGCCTCTGGGCCAGCAGTAGAAATGGGGGAGGGGGCAGAAATGGCATTGCGTGATGTGTTGACATCGCCCAGAAGTGATGATAATGATGTTTTGTGCAATGTCATTTTTGCCCCTTGCAATGCCTTCAAAGCCCCTATAGGACTTAACTAGGTTTTATTTATTTATTTATTTATTTATTTATTTGATTTTACCCCACCCTCCCCGCCAAGGCAGGCTCAGGGCAGCTTACAGAAGAACCAATAGGGAAACAACAATACAAATATTAATATAAAATACACAGGTTATTAAAAACAATTGACAAAATGATGGTGGTATCATTACAATAAAGTGCGTTTATCGGTCCATCCATTATTGGCGGGCTCAGGCTGGAGATAGGTTGGCACCGGGCATAGATGATAACACGGCTGCTACCTAAATGCCTGGTGGAAGAGCTCCATTTTCGTGGCCCTGCGAAACTGTGTGAGGTCTCACAGGGCCCTGATCTCATCCGGGAGCTCATTCCAGTAGATTGGAGCTGCCAAAGAAAAGGCCCTGGTCCTGGTCGATATCAGCCTGGCATCCTTAGGACCAGGGAGGGCCAAATGGTTTTGCGACCCTGACCACAGTGCTCTCTGGGGAACGTGTGGGGAAAGGCAGTCCCCCAGGTAGGCAGGTCCCTGACCATAAAGGGCTTTAAAGGTCAAAACCAGCACCTTGAAGCGAACTTGGTATGCTAGGTTCTTCAGGATTAACCAGCTAAGGGCAATAAGGTGACGAGACTCTCTTTAAGCTGGGCAGTGAAAAGCAAATTGGAATGACCCCTATGATTGAAGGCAAGAATTTAAGTGGAACAGTTCTGGAAAAAGGAGAAGGGACTTTGTTTTGAGATGGCCAGTTCCTGATACAGCAAGATGGTGCCACAGGGAAGAAGAAAGAGGAAAACAGCAATGGAAGAGAAAATGAGACTGTGTTATATCTACTGAGGGAGACTCACAGTTATTTTGCTTTTAATGGTGAAGGGAAAAATAACGGTTAAATGAGATGCCATTGTTCTCTGAAATTTGTGTCTAAGTTAAATAGCGATTCTCCTGGACTACTCTTCAAATAGTCAGATTTGTTGGGAAGTTTTCAGAAGCTATGATGATGAGTGATCACTCTCAATGTTAAAGAAAGCTTTTTACTATTGTTAAGCAAACTTTTTACAAGCTGTATGTGATCTCCAACCCTTGGGGTTTTAGTGGGTTTTCTTTTCTTTCTCCTATAGCGTGTAGTCTCCCTCCCTAATTTCGTTGTAGTTTTTAGTAAATGCAAATAAAAAATCCCCTACGGGGGGCCATTAAAAAAAGATTAACCAGCTAAGATGTAATAAATAGGTTGTTTGTATTTGGTATTTGGTAAGATGTATTTAAGGGCTGCACTAGTCACTAAGAGATTAAAAAAATAGGGCCAAGGAGAAAGTAAAAGGGCTGTACCAATCACTAAGAAGTAAAGGCCGATGGTGCAAAATAAAGTAAAACTATATTTTATTACTCAGTTAAATTCTTTAAATTCCCTA